ACACACACACTTTTATTGATCTGCAGGGCGAGAGTGAACCTCTTCCGCTGAAAGCTAAGCGGGACGCGCACAGCTTTAATTAGCAGAGAAAGGGCGGAAGAAGGCGGGGCCTCACGCGGCCAGGAGAGGGCGAAGCCCGGGGATCAGGCGGTGCCGAAGTGGACGAGCAGGAAAAGGTATACCTTGGACAGGAGCCCGGTGGTGAAGTCCCGGGAGGAGAAGAGCCGGTGGTGGAGCCGTCAGCGGCGCTTCGAGAACACCAGCCACACAAGCTGCGGGAGAGGACGCGCCACTTCACCAGGTCGACGTCCGAGAGGAAGAAGAGCACCACTGAGTTGGAGAGCAACGTTGTGCCACCAAAGTGATGTCAGGAGTACCAGCCGTGGTAGTCCAATCCACGGACTTGGGGACCCGCAGCCTGGGGCGCGGCAGCCAGGCGAACCGTGAACTTGCCGCCGATGACCGACAGGATGCCGGCGTGCTGCAGGGAGAAAGTCTGCCCTGCACTGGCAAGCGCGTGAGGACGGGCGGAAGCCACACGCGATGCGCTGCCGATCCGCAGTGTCAAGGGCCGGGCCTGAGCCGCTCAGCGCCAGGACCAGCGGGGCCGCCGAGGCGGCAAGTTGGACACACACACACACACACACACACGCACAAGTGACGTTTCAATGCGCCATCCCGTTCCAAGTCCCCTTCTCGTAAGTCAATGCAAGTAGTGACTCCCGTTACGGCGACTACTCACAAAAAAGATGAAGCCCGAATGGACCTGCCTGGTAGGAACCGCGCATGTTTTGCAACGCGCATCAACGATCACGTGCAGATCGGTGTTGAGGAGGGCGAGGAGGATGACGGTGACGAGGTTGAGGGCCGAGGAAGAACAGGAGGAGATAGTAGAGGAAGGCGGAGGAGGGTGCAGGTGGAAGGGTCTGGGGGAATGGGGAGGGCCGAGGAGGGCAGACGAGGAGGCACGAGGGGCGGAGCAAGCAGGAGGAGGAGGAGGGCCGAGGAGGAGGAGGAGGAGGAGGAGGAGGAGGAGGAGGAGGAGGAGAAGGGACGAAATGCACGTGCAGAAACATTGAACAGGCGAGCAAGCAGGAGGAGGAGGAGCAAGCAGGGAGGAGGAGGAGGGCCGAGGAGGAGGAGGAGGAGGAGGAGGAGGAGGAGATGGAGGAGGAGGGCCGACGAGGAGGTAGGAGGAGGGACAGAAGGAGGCGGAGGTCAGAGGAGGGCAGGAGGAGGAGGAGCAGCAGAGGAAGGTGCGGAGGAGGCAGGAGAGCGTCGGGCAGGGGAGGGCGTAGGAGGGCGGGCGGTGCGGCGCGGCAGCAGCGCGGGCAGGCACAGCAGGAGCAGAGGACCATGGAGATGCTGTGGGCCCTGCCCGTCCGCGACTGGAACGGCCCAGAGGACCCTGGGAGCGCCACGACTCCTCGCCACCGCCGTCATCATCGTCGTCATTGCTGTAGCCATCCTCACCAGCATAATCACACCTCGTCGCGCGGCCTGACGAGCAAGGCCACGAAGCCTCTTGGTCTGTGAAGCGCCGCCGCCTCTCGCCTCTCGCGGCGGCCGACCCCGTTGTGCAGGCACGATCGCTCGCATCACCGTCGTCGTCATCAGGCTCGGCCTCGGGCAGCCCTCACCGTGCAGGCCCGCGGCGCGCGGGCGAGCCAGAGGCCCATGCAGGCGCGGGCCGAGCGGGGGCGGGAGGCCAAGGGCGAGGGCGCGCGGGGCCAGGAGCCCAGGCGTGAGCCCGCGCCCCCCCGCGCGCCAGTTCCTCCCCTGGCGCCGCGTGCGCCGAGATCGCCAACCGAGGCGTTCGCCGTGGGAGCGGGGGGGGGAAAGGGGAGGACGGGGAGGAGAGGAGGGGGACAGAAGGGTAGCGGGGCGGAAGCAGGAGGAGGAGGAGGAGGAGGACACTGGATGGCAGGGTCTACGGCCTCACTACTTCCACCACTGCGACTCCCAGAACATCGAGGATGTCTGATGGCCCTTCTTGCCCAAGCTACTCCCTACGCATGATTTTGACCTAGGCTCCTCCTGCTATCGTCCTGGCGTCAGCCGTTCCGTCGTCTCGTCTCTCCTACTTCTCTCGCGTATCGCATTCCTTCTGTCTGCTGTTGGCATCTTCTCCCCCCCCCCGGGGGCCGTGCCTTGCTGATGGTTGGTGTATGTTGAGCTCCCGTGTGTCCGCTCGCGGACGCATGGGACTTCGACGGTCGCCTCCTTCGGCGTGGCATCTCCCTCGTTCCCACATCACAGACGCCAGTTATATACTGTACACCCTCTGATGCTGTACGTCATCTGATATGCCGTGTTTGCAGCTACACACACACACACACTCTCTCTCTCTCTCTCTCTCTCCCTCTCTCTCTCAGCAAGCAATACGAATAGAGTTTACGCGAGCGGCCATTTTGGCACGTCCGTAGGAGACAAATCTACGAGACGAGTCCCACTGTGGATTACCGACGACGCAAGCCCTTTTTTAACAGCAACCGACTTGCTACATGTTCCTCCTGATCGCCATTAGCACACACTATCGTTTACAAACCCGTGCCGCCTGACTCGCTGTCACGGGATGATTGCGGTGGGGACTGATCGTGGTCGGGTAGGGAAGACGACTGGCCTCTTCACATCCAGCAACGCACTTCAGCCGTGGGCACTTCACCTTTCAGGCCCCCCCCCATCCATCCGCTACAGGCCAGCCAGACTACGCTGAGCCAGCCTATTGTTACAACGGGTTGTGCGAAACCCGGAAACAGTATACAAAAGGCATTGAGATCTCGCGGCCCTGAGGGTTGAACCGAAAAGCCCGGGGTAGCAGCCCAAGAAGTACCACCATGTTGCACTCTCCATGTATTGCTTGTGTTCTCGATTGCCGAGTTTTAAGCCTACACTGATACTGGGATGGGTTGGAGGTCAGGCAGTATGGGACGGAGGTATGGAAGTGGACCTCAGACAGGCCAGCCAGCACCTATTGCGCCAGCCGTCTTCGGCCTACAGCCGCGCACCTCGAGAGGCCGTGCCAGGCCACGCTCAACTTGAACATCCAGCCGCTCACATCGCCACCAACCTCGCCTCGTCTGCTTTCTTTTCGACGAGTTCGTATACCTTTAGCGCTGCACACCTGGACTAGCAAGCTTGAGACTTACCTTACGGGAGGATTTGTGAAAGGCGGGTGGTAGGGTAACACCAAGTTTTGCAGCGCCTACCTTGTAATCCTTGCGCCAGCCTCCCTCGGCAGTAAGCCTAGGGCTCACACTGCCCCATCTAGCGCCGCATGTTCAATGTTTCTGCGCGTGCATTTCGTCCCTCCTCCTCCTCCTCCTCCTCCTCCTCCTCCTCCTCCTCCTCCCCCTCCTTGTATCATCAAAGTCATTACTTGTCTTTCCCTGTCTCCTTGTCGGCATCTCCCACAGTGCTGGTGGCGAGCGCTTACCCTGCGCTCCTGAGGGCCTGTGTCTGTTCCCGCAGCGCTCGCCACTACAGCCAAATGTGTTTGCTTCTCCGCCTAATTCGGCGACTGTTCTTCTCGCCACAAGCCCGTGCCTCAGGTCCGAGCAACGTCAATCGGAGGAGGAGGAGGAGGAGGAGAAGGTTGGAGGAAGAGGAGGAGGAGGAGGAGGAGGAGGACGACGACGACGACGAGGAGAACGAGGAGAGCGAGGAGGAACGGGAGGGACGGAAAGGCCTCCCCCAGCGCATGTTCGCGCGCGCGCGCGCGATGCTCCCCTCGGTGCCGGACTCGAGCCGCCAGGGAGCGGGCCGTTCGGCGCAGCGACCCGTCGTGGCGGCGCCCCGCGCCGAGCGCTGGAGGGCGGCCGCGGGCCCAGGCGGCGCCAGGGGAGGGGGCCGCCTGGCGAGGCCGAGGCCGAGGCCGAACGTGCGGCCGGCGACCAGCGCCGCGCGCTGCTCTCCGGGGCTGGGCCGGGGTCGAGCACGGGGCGGTGGTCGCCCGGCTGGCGGAGGCGGAGGGCCATGGGCGATGCGTGCCGGCAGGCTGGGAGGGCCTGGCAAGAGGGGCCGTCCAGCAGCATCTCACAGCAGCCTCGTGTGTCCTCCCGATTCCGCTTTCAGAGTGCGCTGGCGCATGCTGGCATCTGGTAATCGATGGGAAGGCGCTGAGAAAGCGCCGATGTGGCGTCGATTAGCGTCGACTTGAGTCGATTGGTGTCGGGTCGCGTCGATCTGCAAGAGCCAGCAAGATGACACGTGAGGCTCCCATGAGTTGCCACAGAAGGGTCGGGCGGGAGACCCCCCCACGCCCACATCGCGATGGCGATGGTGGTCCTCGGCAGGAATGCGGGCGGGAAGGCCCAGGCGATGCTCACGGCTTGGGCGCAGCTCACCGAGAGCGGCAACGAGTCAGGCAGCATGCGACTCTGGGAATGCGTTGGCGACGCGCCAGCTCGGAGCGGCTGGCATTATGACGGATGCGCGCGACAGCTACGACACAAGGGGTAATGATGAGGTGGTGCAGCTGGCTTGTCGTATCACTCCCTTGCGAGGAGCCGCGCCCAGCAGCGGCGCCGTGGAGGTCCACCTGGCAGATGATGTCAGCTTCCAGGGCGCGATCGTCGACTACATGAAGGCCGCACGGTGACAGGCGCAAGGGGGGCATGCCAAGCCCTGGAGTCGGAGATGGCACGCGTCGCCCGTGAGCGGCCAGAGAGTTGCGGGGAGTCCAGAGATCAGGCCCAGCCTGGCACGCCCGGTGGCCCAGAGTGGCAGAGCTGCGTGGGTCTCATGTCACGCCAGCGCCAGGTGTAGTTCGGATCTGCACGCTTGGCAGGAGTCAAGTCTATTCAGTGCACCTCGTGCGCACCATTTGCAGCAGTGCGCCCGCGCGCGCAGTGCGCCAGTTGGTCCTGAATGACAGAGTTCTGGGGCACAACGGACCCCAGGTCAAGAGGTTGATCGTATCGACGAGCGCTCGGCAGTGATCTTGGCCGAAGCGCGAGCTGCCCAGCCCCTCCCCCCCGTTGGCGGATCGGCTCGTTCTGAGCGGGGGGTCTGTGGCTCTCGCTGTGGGTGGGCGCACGGTCGGCTGCTTGGGCCGTGTGCATTTTGCTCGTCGGGCTCGCGGATCGATCCCACCCATGCCCTTCATATCCGAAATCCGATCGTCATCATCGTAATATTCGTCCCCACCTTGTTTAGAGTGTTCCTCCTCCCTCCCCTCCCCCCCCACCTCATATGCCTCCTCACTCCTGCTTCTCCTCCTCCACCTCCTCCTCCTCCAGTATTGTCTTCCCCGCATTTCCCACCTCTCGATTCCCAGCACGCCATCCGCAGCGAACGCGTGCGCGATGGCACCGGCGGAACCACACGTGCGGCTGCTCGCTTTGCACAACCGATTGATGCAGATGCTCGCACCCTGAAGGCATCGCACAAGCTGCGAGGCTAGCCCCCGCCGGCATGGCATTATCGGTGCCGTAACCACCAAGAAGCTCGTGCAGCTCGACAACACCCAAAAAAGTGTGAAGCACTTGGACGCCATCTTGACCGAGGAGTTATTCAGCAAGGGTTCCAAGAGACCTGCTCCGACAACGACGAGTTGAGTTTCACCTCGACCACGTCCAGCACCAGCGATTGCTTGACCAATGACGAGGTGGGCGACCGCGACGACAGCGACCAGGACAGCTTCAACCACAAGATCGACATCGACGCCGCGGACATTCCAGCCAGGCTTTATATTCGGGAGGAGCTTAACCCCGTGGGTTCGCAGCCGCACTTCAGCGCCCCGGCTGGTGCCTTTATCTTTGACGAGGTTGGCCTCGTCACATGTCGCCCAGGCTGCGGAAACTGTTGTGCTCGCTGGGCTCCAGTAGGGTGAGAGGACCATCGACGACAGCTTCGAAAACCCCATCAGCCGTTACCGACGATTCCTGCGAGCAGGGTGCCGACATGGAGCAGCACATCGACGTCCTGTGCTACAACTATGCTTCCGAGCACGCTGGCGGACAATGGCAGACGTGGTTCAAGCACGTCCTGGTGGATTTGTTGGATCAGCGCAGCACTCCACTGACTCAGGGCGGATGCGCTTGGAGGCCTATGCAGTGGTACTTTGCACATGTGGTCAGTGCATGTCGTGCGTTGGTTTTGAATTATGATTAAGGGTAGTCGCTCTGTTTACCTCCGCCTACACTGTATGGAAGGAGCCAGTACCCGCGGAGGCAATGTCTCGTCTCATCAGTCGTCAATGTGTCTCTTGGTTAGTTTCGCTGCTGTTCTAACTCGTGTTTAGCTTTTGCCACCGCCACCGCTGATCGACCGACTGCCAATGTATCGTATTTGGGTCGGGTCGGCCAGATGATTTACAGTTTCTAGGGCCAGTGTATTCCTCCCTCTCCTCCTCCTCCCTCCTCCCTCCTCCTCCCTAGCCGTACTGGCACAGGCGGCGCCTT